CTTTTTGCCATGAAATCTACTGATTTTTTATAAAGTAAGGCTCGGGACACACTAGGCGATTTTCAAATCGTAAACGATTTTAAAACCATGGGAGACCACATACATGAAGACATTTCAACCAATTTTTAGACTTATAATCCTGGACACCCCTGCACTAGATGATTCGACCAGACCACGAGACCACACACTTGATGATTGTTGGAACGATTTCACAGTGACACTTGATCTCACAGACACTCGCGAGATCAAACGTACCTTACTAGAGAAGAAACACAAATAGAGGACAATCAACCTTGTCAGCTGTCTCTCCTGGCGCGCGTTCTGTTTCACAGTGAAAAACAAAGTATAAAAAATAATATGGGTGATGTTCTCTGCTTTCATGGCATGTTTGTGGCTGCCAAGTTTCAGCTATAGAAGCACGCAACATCCGGTAGGTGACGCTTTCTCGCTCTTATTGGCTATCGCGGGTATCACATCAGAGGCAGCCAGATCAATAGTCCTTCGGGGATGCTCCATCTCGATCGGGAGCAGATAAATAATCGTAATGACACCACACAATAGAGGATTTTTTGGACAAAAAATCGGCGCCGTCTTAAGCGCGATATCATTGGGCATGCACATTGGCTAGTCTAGCCTGAGAAATAAGCTTTTTTTAACGATATTTGAGCATAAGAAACAATTCATGGGGCAGTTCATTTCAGATTTTGTTGCTGATTTGAAATATGTAATTTAATTGTGACTTGAGCAGCAGTTTTTGAGATTTCAGGATTTCCCCCATTCATTTTGATAGGACTTGGTCTTGTTTGAGCTGCCCAGAGGCGTTGCAAATACAGTATGGGCACGAGTGAACAGACTTTCCTTGGGACTTTGGTTGCTGTGTGAACGGGACATTTCGAGACTCACTTCTGTGAAGTAAATGCGGTTGTCAATCCCAAAATCTGACAGTGTGAACGTAGCCTAAGAGATTTTTAGAAGCCAGATTTAAAGTTAATATGCTTACCATGTATTGCACTTATGGAGTGTGCATCAGGCCTTTTGATGAAATATTGAGTGTTGTTACCTAAGGTATATTTTTAAGTGTTCAGTCACACAAAAATGAAAATTGTCATAATTTCCTCATCCTCATGTCGTTCCGGACCTGTATGGTTTTATTTTCTGCAGAATGTCCAAGCTAATCACGTATGTACAATGATGAAAGCTTTTGAGCTCCAAAAAATTTATTATTCTGCATACAAAAAAATATATTATATAGCTTCAATACGCTTATATAGCACACATGGACAAAATGTTGTTGCTTTTTTGTCATTTCTGAGCTTGACAGTTCTGTCCCTATTCACTTTTATTGTTTAGAACATGGGTGAACTATTCCTTTATTTTTGTTTTATTTTTTAAAGAATTATGTTTTGCATTTGTGTTTAAGATCCAAGGAGTGATGAAGGGTTACTGGTATACCTCTCTCTTAATCTTCATCATATTTTATGGAACCGGCCAGTGCAGGAACACGCAAACAGGTAACTACTGTAGCAAACACAGAACGTCCCCCTAACATTAATATAAGGTTCCCGTTTAGATATTATATCTGTACCACCATAAAATAATGTTCCCAGAATGTTCTGAGAACCAATTAATATTAGTTTGGTGTGTTTATGTCCATCTATTTTGTAGGGAACTTTGTTTGCCCATTTTGTACCGTTATAAAAATTGAAAAACAAAACATATGTCTTCTAATCTCTTATTATGTTTGTCTTTTGGTTCAACCAGCAGGTCTGACCTGTGTGAACGACTATGTGAACAACATTTCTTGTGTGTGGTGGAACTTTACAGATTTCTCTGACCAACGATGTGTGCTTGTGGGGAAATGTGACATAAAAAGGTTTGAGGTTTTAGTTTCAAGTCTCAGGATGGACAGTTTTAACACTGATAAATAAACCTTTTCAAATCTGAATTGAATTGATATGTGTTTGTAGATGTGTTTATAGATTATGTGAACTGGTGCCACTGAGCAATCAATCACATTCTAAGAGAAGTTGTTCTTTAAGCTTTGACAAACCTGTAAGTAGAAATGGATGAGATTTATGTTAACTTTCTATTCACCTGAGTTGATTAACACATTCTCTTCTTACATTCCCCTTTCTTTAACACAGAATTTTTTTTTCCTCAACAAATTCTGGTTGAATGTAACCTGTAATGGATCTGTCATCACTAAACTGTATTATCAGCCTAGCCGACACAGTAAGTAGAATTAATTCTGCTGTTAGTGGGTTGCAGATATGTTTAAAGCAGCACTAGGCTATGTAACTTTTTCTGTGTTCAAAATTTGCAAAATGTATATAATGAGCGAGTACATCATGAATTCATCTTCCAAACGACGTTTTTGTCTTATTCTGAATCACTACGGTACACTTATAATAAGTACTTATATTTGGACTATTGTAGCCTGGTCGGGTCGTCAAATAATGTTCTTTTTAGCAGCATCATATGACCCCTTTAAAATGGCAGGTAAATTAAAAAATAAAACACACACATATACATCACAGTAAAATAAAAATTTGCACGGAAAATAATTTTTATGTTTGAATGTGCAAAACACTACCATCAAAATACAAAATAATTCATTTGAATATAAGGGCATTTTAAAAATGGGTAAGAATCAAGTTTTTATTTGAAACGTTAAATTCTAGGATTGGAATAAAGGACAAAATATAAATTACCGCAAAAAATAAATGATGCCAATGTGTTTAACCAATCTGGGTTAATCACATAGCCTACTAGCCAATACTACAACAAAAGATCATATAAGACAACTAAGTGAAAAAAAGAAAATAAAAAAAAATCTGTTCTCATTCAACAAACATAGTATGCAAATAACTTTGCTTTGAAGAAGCATTAGAACTGCAGTCATTTGCCTTGATAATGGTCTTTTAAATCCTTGGCACAATTAGACAAACCTTTCGATACCTTTTACACAAAACATGGCATTTCGGAGATAAACTTGGTCAAAATCTATACTAGTTGACCTCTTTTTGTACTTTTGCTATGGTTACTCCTCAGCAAGTCTGTTTGGTGATGCAACAGGTGAAATACACACTCTGACAAACTTTAAACTAGTATTGTTTACATTTAGGCATTAACTTACATCACACTCAAATTGTACATCAACTGTTCCTGCATTCCTTATGAATTAAACCCGTGTCTTTGCTGTTGCTAGCACCATGCTCGTTTTAAATGTTCTTCATGATTTTGTTTTTTATTTTCGTTTTTACATGACAGTTAAGACCCAACCCCCAGATATGCCCACTGTAAGTGGGGACAAAATAACTTGGAGTAAAGGCAGTAACTTTCCAGAAGCCATAAAATTTTATGACTTTCAGCTGCAGTTTAAAGCCTTACATATAAGCTGGGAGGTAAGCAAACAGTTTGTTTGATTGACATGTTTTCTTTAACATTTACCTAATTAATTAATTTAAAAAAATCGCATGTATTTTAGTCTTCAGTAAGCTGCTCACAGTGACTCTGCAAGTCAAATGCAGCATAATTTTGAGTGTTATTTTTCTGAGTTTGTGTTCATGTATGATTGCATATTTTTGCATGCTTCTGTGCTGTAGACGGCAGCACATAGGAATGTCACTCAGGAAAATGACGTGCTGCTGGACCATAATAAACTGACTGTAGGAGAGGAGTACCAGGCCAGGGTGCGTGTGAAGCCTGTTGAGCCCATTAATGATGGTTATTTTCGGGGGGAATGGAGCGACTGGAGTCCTGCTGCGTCCTGGAGATCTGAGATTGGAAAGCCACCAGTGAAACCAGGGGATGATGTATCTCCACCAGGTGGGCCTCTTGCCAGCCCAATAATATAATAATATTTGTCTGTGAGATAAGATGATAATATATTTCATGACAGCAATTTTTTCTTTTTTGCTTTAGTGCCTGATAATATGCGTATTGTTCTGATCATTGGATTCCACATATTGCTTGTTCTTGCTGGTCTTTGTTTGGTCATCTATAAGGCAAAGAAAAGCAAACGGTCAGTATTACATATGTGATATGTCTTTATATATATTATATATAT